AAAAAATACATTTGCACCTGCAATACATTTGCACCAATACATTTGCACCAATACATGTGCATCGAAGGGTAATTTAGAATTCGAACTGCATAGTCGATTTCACTTAGTTTCTAGATTAGATTTGTTTAATCGCTTTTCCCATTCATACACAATTAATGACAGGATGCTTTGCACTAACGATACGTTACGGCAATAACTGAGCTTGTGATAGTTTGCTGACCGTGAATGAATGGAAAGAGCGACTGACCAATTTCCTAGCAGGAACCCGTATATTATAACCCTAAACGGTGTCAAGACTCAATACACTAAAATAATTATTACCTATTTAATTGGCGTTTTTGACACCACTTGGGGGTACAAATTTTCTGCTCTAAAATCATTATTCCTTGGCCAATTTTTTATTTTTTTCATGCTGATTTGGAGGCCATTAAAGCATTTGACCCAGCCAAAGAAGTTTCAGTTGTATATCTTTTACGGTTAATTCGGAAAGTCGCGTTAAAGTTGATGCCATGCCGTGGTGTCAGTAAAATGGCACGGATATATATCGTCTCGCTTTATATATAGTAAGATGCGATTTAAATTGATTGAAAAAAAGGGTCACTGGTGACGGTCCACTCTAGTTCTTACCCGAATTGTGGTTTCGGATAAAATATATTAGTGGTGTTACCGTGTTCAAAACTCCAAATATCAAAAAGTTATTACCATCAAGGAAATAGTTTATCGAGGCTATAATATGATCTGTTGTCGTATGTCTTATATGTCATCAAACTATTTAATCGCAATCAAACTATCTTATCGTTATCAAAGTTCAAATTAATTTATCTAATCATAATAATAATAAGATAATAATAACTGATCATGACACACCTTATAAATCAGCAGGCGTGGTTCCGCTTAATTGGAATCCGATTTTTGCTGATCCAGATTTTTCATACGTGCAACTGAAAACAAACAGCCTACGGGGGAGCGACGACAAGATTCGTGTTTGGTTCTTCTATGTCAAAGAAGAAGAAGAAACGGGTTCCGACTACATCGGAGAACTGAATGTAGGTAGTTTTGAAATCATGTTCTCCTCCACTATAATGTATGACCGTTACCAGTGTCAAACAACATTCCGTCCCTTCCCGAGAAGTTTGCCTCAACAAAAGGATAAAGATTGGGTAATTAAGAAACGTGGGACAAACACAAAAGTTTATTGTAATGGAGAGAAAGTACTCGACGAAACTCTAACATCTGAAACCTGTGATTTTTCACAGTTAGAAATTGGTGAACTACAGATTAGGGCGGTACCTGATACAATTATATTTACGTATTATGTCGGTGAGTTATTAATTTGAAGACGGGACGGTTTCATTCCATATTAATCATCACCTTATCAGACTTTATTTGAACGGGACATTAATTGGACTCTGGAGGCCATATACTAGTAGCGTTTATTTTAATGTCCGTTCAAATAACGTCTGTTCGTTTAGTATGCTCCGTCTAAGTCAAATAGTTTATTGAACACTTTCCCAAAATTATTCCACTACGAACTTATTATTTTCCAGATCAGACCACTTTTTGATTTCAGTTAATTTTGATTTTCCATCATCCGACTTAATTATTATTAACATTTTTACTGCTTAACGACTGCTTTTCTTGCTTACTGTATCAAAAATCGTCCAAAAAATTATTTGCTAAAGTTAGGTAAAAAACATCTAAAAAAGATAAAAAACTGTTTTTAATCTACAAAATAGATTGCCTACAAAATATTTGTACTCCTTTTTCAGAACCTATTTGGGAATTATGGAAAGCTTCTCTCCTAAACCTAGCAAACGAACCAGAGAAAGAAAATGAAACGGAAGGTCTTTTGAATGTCAACGTCGTTTTCAGACAAACTGGGGTAAAAAAGAATGGAACAGTTTGTGCGGATAAGTTTAATTGGTATTCAGCACACCAGTTTTGTCGGTATATTGGTGGATATGTCTTCGCAGATTGGGGGAGTCATCCGAGGAACATGAAATATATTTCTGAGTAAGTTTTAACTTTTGTTTTATTAGTGAAGGACCGATGGCGTGCCTGGTAAAACGCTCTAAAACCGCTATTGAGGTATTCACACTGCAATCACTTGGTTGTTTTTTTTTGAGACACCATACACAAATAAAAATATAAATAAAGCAACTAATCGAAATTTTGATATTTTTTAATCATTTTTATTGTTAAGATCTAAGCTGGAACAATTAAACATACCCATTATAATGAATAATGTGAGATGTACCAAGTTTGATGATGATGTTTCGAAGTGTACATCGTCCTTTATGAGCCACACACGTGACTGTGCATATAAAGATAACATTTGGCTTCGCTGCTTCAATAAGACAGGTATGATAATCAAATATCGAATATTAAACGCATTTTATTTGCTTTGGTAATGAAAAGATTAAGGAATTTATAACAATTGCTTTTTTAATTTTTGAGCACAGTGTTTTTCATGTCTTGGTTGTCAAACAATTTATAAAATACTAGCAGAAACCAATCGAACCCTAAAGTGGTGTCAAGAGACACCAATGTTTATTTATTTATTTAGTGATTTTGTCACCACTTTGGGGTTCGAATTTCGGGACTTAAAGTTCTTATTCCTTAGCCAATTTTTAATTTATTTATACTAGTCAAATGGCCATAAAAGCATTCGACCCAGTCAAAAATGATTCAATGGTATGTATATCTCTAACGTTTTTCGCGGAAACTCATGTTAAACTTAAAGTTGATGACGTGGTGTCAGTGAAATGGCAGATATATACACATGTACATACATATACAGGGTGGGCCAAAATTAACGTTGCATACCGTACCGCCGTGTTTCATATTTGAGACCTGTAACTTTGCAGTTTGCATGTGGTAAGCTGTAACTACTCATTCGAGGATTCCGTCGCATAAATTAATAATAAATAAAACCACACCCATATAACATTCAATCACCTATATTGTTTTTTTTCCGAACATGCTAGACGCCCAATTTTGTCAGATTTCTATGAAATGAAATGAAATGAAATGAGGTATTTATATCCCGCTCATATGATTAACCAACAACACAAGGAAGGTGGTTAACCATGTCAGAGCGGCTGACTGTGAGTGATGTGAGCAAATGTGTAAAAATGAACAAGAGTTCATTTTTGGCTGACATTGAATACGTGACGTGTTACTATGGTTGCAAAAATTCATGGCGACATTAAGTCTAAGTTGATGTTTATTGTTTATACACGCTCCACTGTTTCTTTTAACTGTTTCTTTTCATTTTTGCAATTGCTCTCTATTTCAGCTGACAAATTTTTTGATAACGGCCGGTTTTTCGTCGGTTCTCTATTCTTCTATTATGTTCTATAATTAGTAATTTTGCCCTGTTCTGCATCTTAAACCAAAGGCAAAAGCATGATTTTCTCGTAAATTTGCAACTTGAGTTCGAAATCTTTTACTTCTATTTGCTATGATTGTTGGAAACTGTAAAGCGCCCGCTGGTGGATATAATACATATCCTACTCGCCTCGCTGGCTGAATTCCGTATAACACTCGGGCCCAACGGGCCCTCCGGGCTATACGGGGATATGTCGTCCTCGGGCTGTGCGCCCTCGAGGACATATGTATATTATTTTGCTCTCCGGGCGCGGGCGATATAAATTTCCGCCCGCTTATAGGCTGCGTGGATATATATATATATGTATCTGACCTGAAAAAATGAGGCAAAACAAATATGAAATGACGAGGTTATCAAGCATTCTGTGTATCTCGTTAACAAAATTGATTAGGTGAGTATGTGACACGACACCTTAACTGGGCCGCCTTCACAATTTAATGAGGCTACCTAATCACCTGATCAGGTAAGCCAATCACCTGATCACAATTATAATGAACAAACTCGTTATGCTTCGTATCTCAGTTATCTGAGAAGCTATAACAACTGTCATTTTTTTCAGAACAAACGTTATTCGAATGGCCAAACACAATTCAATAAATTTGACTCGATCAGAACTATCAAATAATAATGCAATTGTCGGCCTGTCTTCTGAGGCAATGATACACGACTGGGTATAGTGAACTAGTCTTCAAAGGATTATCACAGGAACATGTAGATAACAATATATCCTGAGAGATAACAAAGTTAAGGTAACAGTATATAAGCCAAAGGTCCTATAATATAAACTAAAGGTGTAATATATAGAACTGGAAATATATAGCCTGACATTACTCTCCCCTTAAAAAAATCTACCTCCCTTCAAAGTGAATGCATAAAAACTTTATAAGATCCTATAAGTACTCAATAATCATATGAAATAGATATAAAGTCTCCCAGGATTAAATTCTCAAATATTGTCAAATAAATTAAAAATACGAATAACCCATGCGCATGGGAATTCAATAGTCAAAATAACTTATTTATAAAAATTGACTTAAAATTAGAAAAATATAAATTTTAATGATAAATCTGTTTTATCTTTCAATTCAATAATAAAATTGCATCCTTTCAATTACACATTCAAGTTTATAAATTTATAAATTGTGTGACCTATAACTGGTCGATTAGTCTATTTGGGGGCCTGACTACCCTCCCTGATCTGGTGGTTGTAGTTGTTGAGGGTTCTGTAGGTGGGGATGATGGTGCCGGCTGTAGAGCTGATGGGGCAAATACTGCACTCGTTGGCATGTTGAAAACATTGTTTGCAAATTATTGCCGATCTATCAGCGGTAAGTTACGCTGAGGGAGACTGTTATCAACATAAACTTTTCCTGCTGGTGCCTGAGGGTTTTGTACCGGAACTCATGAGCTACCCATAACCATAGAGGCATCCTGCTTTGTGCCCGCAGGCTGAATCTGGTCGTGATGACGTGATGAACTACCTTGGATTTTCCGGAAACGAAGTTTACAATTCCCCAGCATGATTTTCCAATCTTTTTGGAGATCTGGAAAATTTAATCCCATACATATTGGATTCATCTTGGGATAATCACCACGCTAGTAGTCTTGTTAGCCTGTTTCTGATAGCTTAGTCGAGATTCCTGCTTTTTGAGAATCTTGAGAGGGATGTTCTGCCTAAACAACCGTGTGTCTTGAGCTTCTTTTTGATTAACACCCAACCTATTGTCGATTGGCAAGTTTGCTGACACTCCGTAAGTAGCCTCGAAAGGAGAGAAATTCGAAGATTTGTTTTGAGTGTTATTAAACAACAATATAGCTTCTGGCAGGAGCTCATCCCATTGAGTAATAGGGATGCCTCTAGATAGACACATAGATCGCAAAATTGTTTTGAGGGACCCAATAGCTCTTGCTGCACTGCCATTACCAGCTGGATGATATGCAGAAGATTGGAGCATTTTGATTGCAAATTCTTCACATAGTTGTCTAACTTTGGTGCCATCGACATTACTTCCCTGATCTGATTGAAGTAATTTAGGTAGCCCATAGTAGCTAAACCATCTGCACCATAATGCGTCCACGACTGTCTCAGCCCGTGCATTGGGTAAAGCTATTGCTGTCATCAGCTTGGTAAATATATCTGTCACCAAAAGAAAGCTTCCGTTGCCTCTCCTGGACACAGGCATGGATGCTAGATCCATAGAAATCATCGAAGATCTTCTCAACCTCTCTATGATCCTGCACTGGTGCTTTAGGCTTAATAGGTCCATGTTTGCACTGTGTGCATGTTCTACAGTTGGAAACAAAGGACTCCGCAGTCCACTTGTTTTCTCATACCCCTCCAATAGAATCTTACAGATAGTATCTGGCAGGTATTATCGATTCCTGGGTGGCCTTGTCCGTGGTACTCTTGGATGATCTTTGTTCAAAGGATTATCACAGGAACATGTAGATAACAATATATCCTGAGAGATAACAAAGTTAATGTAACAGTATATAAGCCAAAGGTCCTATAATATAAACTAAAGGTGTAATATATAGAACTAGAAATATATAGCCTGACACAATAATGAACCCTAATTAAAAAAAAATGAACATGAATATTCTTTGATTTAAAATATTTCTCGAATGAGTACTAATAATAAGTCATAAGAAAAAGAATAACCTCAGTCGGGCAATCAGTGACTGAGCTATAAAGACCAACGTATGTAACATTACTTTTGGCCCACCCTGTATATATCGTCTCGTTTCATATATAATAACATTGCACGCATATCATAATGAAAAAATCAGTAAATGATTTTTCTTCCGTATCTCTTTTTCCAGATGACAATTCCAAGCAACAAACGTGTCAAAATCCTGAAAAGGAGGGGAAAGTATCAAACGAAGATTGCACCGTTTCTAAGATAGGCGGATTTTTGAAACGAGTTTGCTACAAGGAAAAAGAAAATTGGTACTACCACAAGTGTGCAAACTCTGACATTAATTACGAGCAAGGTGGCACACTTAACATGATCACTGGTAGCTACACAATTTCGAGTGTCTCCACCCTCTGTGAAGATGACCCGTATGCTTATCAGGCGTGCGGATTTAACTCAAAAACAACAACTGGAAGCCACGCTTTCCTCTGTGGAGGCTATTTCAGCTACGATTCCGAACAAGGAGTGGCACACTTTCAAAAGTGTGACCTAGATTGTGAGAACAGTGGTATACGAGATTTGACTTCGCAACCCACTGCGGTAACATTAACAGTGTTTTCTTTGTCTGCCCGTTTTAGTGAATTATCAGTTTGCGATGATAAATGCGACTCCGAAAAGTGTGTTGATGAAAGCATTTGTAACGGGTACACGTATGGTCTTTACTGCCCTGGGCGGTATGTACCTCCAAACTGGATCTGCGATGGTCAGAAAGACTGTGAAAATGGAGAAGACGAATCTAATTGTGATATTATAGATAAAACCAAACAAACTTGCATCAAGTTCAAAACAGACCAGATCGCACCCTTGCCCACTCACATCAGGTGCAGTGTGTTTAAATTTGATCAGTATATGGACACATTCCCCTACTGTTCAAATTTCCAAGATCAAACAAATTGTTCTGATGTGGGCAGAATCGGTGGTTACTGTTATGTAAACGGGTTTTGGTCGAGTGTGTCCAAGTATGTTGTCTGTGATAGTGCGTTGATGCAAGGTCAAATAGTGTCCTTGTGTGATGATTATCTGGATGGGGAGTGTTTGTCTGCTCCGGGTAAATCTACAAACTGTATCATTCACAAACACAAACTTTGTGATGGGGTAATTGACTGTGGTGACAGTAGTGATGAAATTGCCGACACATGCAAAATAACAACAGGTGAATATTTTCAATGTTATCGCAGTTTCAATCCTGCAAAATTAATGGAGATACCTTTCTCCTGGATACTGGACAACCAGGTCGATTGCACTAACGGTCAGGATGAACAGACCTTCGGCCTAATAAAAGAGTGCGGGGTAAATGAAACCTTTAGAATGGTATACGGCAAAAGAACTTGTCCAGACGTATTTCTGTGTCCTGGAGATGTAAACGGAAACAACTTAGTTGAGTTTGATCTTCTTTGTGATGGTGTTCCTTCCTGTGAAGTTGAAGAGCAGGTTTGTGCTTTGTCTCGAGATTTCCCGAGAATCACAAAGACGGCAGAGGTGGGAAACTGCTCCGTACGAGATTTGTGTACAATTGTGGAACGACCTAAAAATACAGGATGTCAAATTAAGAATTTTGGAGGGCCGTCAGAGGATGTTTTTGGTGTAGAGATAATGTTAAATGTCCCCGTTGCCAAAGTGAATTGCAGTCGTCTGTTTGGTGAGTATTATGTTTTCCTGAGTTGCATGGGATTGTGTTTAAACTCGACGTGTCCTCTGGACGCAAGACCTCTTGAACATAATATATGTCCTTATTCATTTTCTGATCGGGTGTATACCCTCGCTAAAAACTCTTACCTTACTTTTGTAACCATGACTGAGGAGGGTAAATATGAAAATACTCACTTTCAATGTAAAAACAAGAGATGTGTCACCTACAACCAAGTATGTGATCTTGTTGATGATTGTGGGGACATGTCAGACGAACAGGCCTGTACTAACCACATGGTTTGCAAGAACACCCAGGACAAAATAAACGTTAAAGAACATCTCATAGCCCCATCGCAGAAGTGTGACGGAATATTTGATTGCTTCGATCTATCGGACGAGTGCAATGAGTCCTGCGGAAAGGAAATCCTTGAAAGCTGGTACTTGAAATTGACATGCTGGATACTGGGAATTTCAGCTGCTGTACTGAACATAATAACGACCATTAAGACAGCAAGTTCCATTAAAGACAGCGGGACTGGAAATATGGTTTCCACCCGAATACTCGTTTGTCTCATAGGATTCGGAGATTTTCTAATTGGGGTATATCTAATAGTACTGTCCGTGTTCGACAGTTTTATTCATGGTAAAGATTACTGCAGGAGACAACCTGAATGGTTATCAGGGTACACTTGCGCTTTGTTGGGAGTGATAAGCACCATAGGATCACAGCTGTCTCTATTTGCTATGACGTCCTTGAGTCTTATCAGAGTGTCAGGCATTGTGAATAGTTCCCTTTCTGCTCCCAAACGAGTGAACAAACGATTGATGTTAAAAATAGGTTTGATAGTTCTAGCAGTGGTTACTTCTGCTCTTGCAGTAGCTCTTACACCACTGGTTCCTGCATTTGAGGATTATTTTGTCCAAGGCATGTTCTATGATCCTGAATACAAAATATTCATCGGTTTTCCTAACAAAGTCAAGCATCTTGAGATCCTTGGAGCCTACTGCAAAAATGAAAGCTTTTCCCCAGACATGTCGTGGTCAGAAATTGGTAGTAAGGTTGATAACATGTTCAGTAAAGATTATGGCAGTATGAGTAGGAGTGCTGTACACTTCTATGGGAATGATGGCGTGTGTCTGTTTAAATATTTTGTCCGAAGTGACGACCCTAGAAGATCAAGGGGAGCTGATGATACAAGTGTCATCGACGACAAAGAAAATGTTATGGTATGGCTTATGTTAGGTATCAACTTCTTCTGCTTTGTAGTGATTACACTGTCCTACACGGTGATCAGCATTAAAACTTGGAGATCTGCTAAAAGCAGTGGACAAGATGAAAATCCAGAGATTGTCCGCCAAAATCGAGCATTGCAAAGCAGGATATCGATTTTGATAGGGACAGATTTTGCTTCTTGGGTGCCATTTATTATTATAAGTGCCCTACATAATGGAGGTAAGATAGACTCCACTGATTGGTACGTGCCCTTTGCAATGATAGTGCTACCGATCAATTCTGTGATCAATCCATTGCTTTATGACAATTCAATTCGAGATTTCTTTGGTTGGATTATTTCAGGACTGTATACTTTTATCCGAGAGTCCAGATTAATGAGATTTGTTCGAAAGACAAGACCAAACAATAAAGAAGACAGCAAATCGGGAAGGATAGCAGAAAGCACTTTTGCCATTTCTGACACACGAGGCAATTTAAGTCAGACTGTTCATAATTCTAGCGAACTTAGTGCTCAGACAAAAACCAGGTTTGTTGTTGATGATTCCCAGAAGTTATAAATCAGGGAACGATGATCGGATGATTACAAGTTGATTTATTTAAATTATTGTCAAAAGTTTGGGTGGAATTTAGTTAAGTGCACGATTAGAAACCTTTGGCCCTTGTTTATCATCATAACTGGATCATATTATTTTAACGATTTGATTGATATTCGTTTGTTAAATGAAGTTTTTTATAATTAAGAATAAGCTTCTTAAACCATTTTGATCGAAGTTACTTCCATATTTGTAGGGCCCTTTCATAATTTTTTGTCGTGATCTAGGCGAGTGACTTAGTGAAAGTCTTTAGTGTTACTAGCAGGAACCCGTATAATCCTAAAATGGTGTCAAGAATCAAGAGACTAAAATAATTATTACCTAATTAATTCGCGTTTTTGACACCACTTGGGGGTCCAAATTTTGGGCTCTAAAACTCCTATTCCTTGACCAATTTTTTATTTTTTCATGCTGATTTGAAGGCTATTAAAGCATTTGACTCAGTCAAAAAGGTTTCAGTTGTATATCTTTTACGGTTTTTGCGGAAAGTCACGTTAAAGTTGATGCCCTGGTGTCAGTAAAATGGTACGGATAAACACATCCATATATATCGTCTCGCTTTATATATAGTAAGATATGATTATAAAACAATAAAAGATGATCTTAACAAATCGATTTCAAGCCAACTAATAGATTGAGGTTTAACGAAAATATAGGACATCAAACTTTGTGTAGCACTGCACCACCTGGAACAGGAAATGCACACTCAGACCTATAATAATGGGCAACGTTACTATAATTGGTCTCTCAAAGTCCGTAAAATTTCTTGGTGTGATTATGGATCGGAAACTCAACTTCAACGATCAGTTGTGGAACACAACAAGAAAATTGAAAATAATCTTGTGCGAGGGTAGGGACCCAGATGTCGTTTCTAACCCAAATAAACTTTAAGGAGGCTTCTCATCAGTAGCCGCACCTCCTTACTCGGTTTCTGAACTGGAATTCTATGGGCTTCCAGACGGCCAGACCGAGTATTACCATCCCATCCTTCTAGAGTTCATCACAAGTAGCACCCACCTTGAAGATCTTTGACACCCAGACACACCCCATTGGCGAACAAACTTTGGATATAATCTTACATGCTCCCGAAGGAATCCCTGGTTTATGGTCTTTCTCATCGTCACCAGCACTTTCACTAGAGTCAAGATTTTGTTGTGCCAATTTAACTTTTTAAGGGTCAAAGGAAAAGTCCTGCATACTTTGAAAAATATGCTTACAGTAATAGATTTCACTCTCAAAGTGGTGCAACATGCAAGAATGGAGAATCTGGAAAAAAAAATTTGGAAAATTTGTTTTAAGGAATGAATTCTAGCAATTATTCTATTATTATTTATGCACTGTATAAAAAGTGTATATTCTGTGTAAAAAGTAGATTTATATTCTGATTTGATAGTATTAGCATAAAGGCATTTTTATACAATTTGAAAAGTTGTTCATGTATTTTACCATTAACAATTTGTGGCTAATACCGAGCAATTTATTTATTTATTGCACGAGTATGAATATTATACATTTCAGGCGTCTGAAATCTAATCGGAATTCGTAATATAATCAAAATAAAAACAAAATCCAACCGGTTCACATTCAGTATCATATACCACAATGCAAAATATTTATTCAAAACACGATCAAATTGAATAAGATCTGAAAATCTCGCGAGATAAAACAACATATTATCAGTCACTCTGCTTGCGTCTCCGTTTCTATCAACAGAACTATAGGAGGATGAGACTGAACCCTTTGTCTTCTCTCAGGCACCACAACTTCAAAATCATACTCTGTAGCGGTTCCATCCTGGTCTAAATCTACAGTTAGCAGGTTGTTCTGCTCCCCGTCCTCTCCTATAGGGAGGTTTATGAGAAACGATTGTCTGGAAGTGGATCTATTGGAGAATGTGGGAGATCCGTGTGAGTTTATGGTGACCGGTCCAGGACTTGTTCTAGTTCTTGTACTGAGAGGTGAGGAATGAACTGATGATGCGTTAAGAGATGTGCTGGAGGATTGTTTCTCAATCACGAAAGTAGCGGATATCCGCCTCTTTTGGGCCGAATGACATTGGGATCACTGTGGTCGGAGACTGGGTGGGTTGTGTTGTTGATGATGATTTCTGGAAGGGTCGGAGAGGGATCTTCATTTGACTCCAACAACTCCATTTTCTGTGGAGGTATATTGATGAGTGAACATTTTCAGCTTAAGAAGCTACCAATAGCTACCATGTAAATACACCAATAAAGGATTCGGTCTCCCAACAAATCAATCCTATCCTCGCCACTGCCACATATTAGTAACTTACCTTTTCGAGAAGATTATGTATTGTACCAGGCTCTGGTTCATTCATTGAACTTTCCTCATCTTCTTTGTTAGTAGAGGTATGACTAGAGGGTCTGATCGAAAAGATTGTAAATAAATAGAAGCAGCTGTCTCTTGGTAAGAAACCACATAGCAGTTAGCTTATTTACAAAGTTATAAATTTATAATAAGCAATTGGTATTTCAATTACATATTTTACCATATCATAGATCATGACTGTAGTGCAACGATTTAGAATTGGCAGTTAATATTTCTCATTGTAATAATAGAGGGCGTCACGATATTTTTACTTAAAAAACTAGGAACTCTGAAGATATTTCAATTATAACGCGTTTATGACCATTGACCATAGTATCGAATAAATGCGGTCCGGTAATGATTTGATTGGTTTTTATGTGTATTTTGATTGACTTTAATGAAAATGTCTAAAAATCGCCAATTCTAAATCATGATCAGTGTACTATAATTTACCTGGTCCAAGCTCTACTTATCCTTCTAAGTGTCGCTGCTTGTGCAACTGTCTTTTGCATCGTAATCTTCCTCTTTTGCTGAAATTGTGATATCACAGTTGCAGTTATAAAATGTTATCGGAAGATGGCGATTTAAACGTGATCCTAGTAAGTCAGATTAAAAGTAAAATACCAGAAATCAAATGAAATGGATATCTATAACTCTATAATAAATGATCAAAATTATGGAATGAATATTGAATCCAAACCTCTTCCAGCACATTAGAGACTTTGCGGACATGTTCTGAGTTTTTAATGAAACTTTGTGACCTCTCTAGCATAATCTCAGAGTTAGCATAGATCTGAAAAGTGAAGTGCAGTTTGATGACCTAATCAGCTCGAATTCGAGAAAGTCATAAAACTAAAAGCAATGAAATTCGAGTATATCAGAAGTGTTCAAATACCTGAGCGAATGCAAGAATAGCATTTTTGGTAGCCATGCCCTCGTATTTTGCTCGAAGAATATTCATTTGTCTTCGTGAAGCCTCAGCATAAGCATTAAAGGCATAAGTGAATAATGCAAATCCAAAGATAATAGAGACTACAAGTGCCATTGCTTGGATAAAATTGTAGAACTGAAATATATCAAGGATATGGTAGAAAGAAATCAAAATTATCATTGCTCAATGATTATTTTGCTTAGCCTTTTTTGAGGCTGATGCTTCTTTGTGCGATTTAATTACTAGGATACGATTCAAACTTAAAGTCAAATTGACTATTCAGATTTTTTTTAAATGACCTGATGTTGATTTGATGCACTGGGCATGAAATAGTCCCCGAACCCTATTGTTGTTAATGATACAAGAGCATAGTACAAGCTCTGAAACCAGCTCCAGGATTTAAGGTTCTCATCTTGGTGGTTGGAGCTCCCCGCGTACGATGCTTCATATACAGTTTCTGAAAGTGAACAATGTATAATTGTTATAGCGCAAACTGGAGATTAATATAAGAATATAGATCTTTAAATTCTAGTTAATGACAGCTTTATCAAGTCTAATTACATATCAAGATAGAATTGAAAATTGATATCCTCATACTAGAAATCTTTAATGCCACTTCTAAAGATTACTGATCAATGTTCATTTAACCACTCACGCGTATAAGCAAATATAAAGCCAGCCACCAAAGCACCCACTATCAAGTACTTGCTGACCAGTTCCAGATACATTAGCGATTTAGCACTTAAACAGGTCTGAGACCTCCAACAGGAGTCTAACCGTTCTGCTAGATGTGCTATGTACTGCCCTGAGGGGAGTCAAGATTCAATATCTCCCGCAATCAGACAACGAACTTTCTATGAAATCTTTATACATTTTCAAAGTAATCAAGAACAACTCCAATTCAAAAAAAGGATGATATATATATATGGACACGTTCATTGAAGTTTGAGGATATTGGTAAATATTAGTGACCCTACTAAATGGCACGATGATGTAAAATGTGTCACACTATAAAACTATATAAACCCTCAATGGTTAGGATAATCGTTTCATCCTCTAGATAAACTTTGTCGCATAACGATATCTTTATCAGACGATAAGATATCGCTTAAATGCGGCCGGCAGTGAGTTGTAAACTTTGTCACACTATAAAAATGTGACAGAGTTTATATGGACCCCTTGTTGCCGTGTTTGACCAAATTTTCGAATTTCAAATTTATTGGATAGTTGCATATGACTATTATCTACATATTTAGCGACTTTTTTCGTTAAATGGTAGCACCATGTAAACTCCGTCACACATTTAAGAAATTTATATGAGGGATGTTTATGACATCCTGACAAGAAATGCCGAATAGTCTAGCATTATTTTGTGAGCTGAATGTGTTTGAAATTGTTCACATATTTCATTGTTATAGGCAAATACAAATACAGAAGGCAGAAATAGGTAAATTTCGTCACATAAATTTGTATGATATCTCAACATGTGTGAAATTGAGTAAATATTAGTATACCAACTTAAACACCCTATATTACGTACTATGGATCAATTAACAATATTTCAACCATACGCCGGTCATATAAATTATTATATGGCAGTGATATGTTAACATTGGCAAAATTTCAACACCTGAACAGGGTAAAAATTTGTAAATTTCGTCACAAAAAAATATTATAACTTTATTTGCTCCGTGTTGGCAAAATAACTAATTTATCGACATAGTGATGGTGATAAAGTAACATTATATACTAATTGAGGTATGATTCTTCAAAATACGGGCAAGAAATGTAAATTTCGTCACATCAGCCATAGCATTAGTTAGATAGATTTTCTTTCATATCAACTGCCCTTATTATAGCTAGAATGGATTTATACAGGAAATATAGAAACCCATGCCCATTTTTCATCACATTGAAATTATACTGTTGGGGCAGGAAAAGTAAATTTCGTCACATTTCGGTAAATTAGTGATATCAAACTCAGCATTGTTAAACTTGGGTTCTGATTTGCTGAAAAATAACCAACCAATAATTCCTGGAAGAAAATTGAATTTTAACTGAGGTATGGTTCTTAAAAATAGGGGCAAGAAATGTAAATTTTGTCACATACGTAATTTTAAAATTTAGATAGATTTTATTTCCTACCAATAGTCCTTATTATAGTCGGAATGGATTTATACAAGAAATGTAGAAACCCATGCCAATTTTTCATCACATCGAAACTATACTGTTGGGGCAGGAAAAGTGAATTTCGTCACATTTTAATAACTTAGTAAAATTAAACTCAGCATTGTTAAACTTGAGTTTTAATTTGCTGAACAATAACTCAATAACCAACCAATAATTCCTGGAAGAAAATTGAATTTTAACCGAGGTATGGTTCTTCAAAATAGGGGCAAGAAATGTAAATTTTGTCACATACGTCATTTTAAAATTTAGATAGATTTTCTTTCATATCAATAGTCCTTATTATAGTTAGAATGGATTTATACAGGAAATATAGAAACCCATGCCAATTTTTCATCACATTGAAATTATACTGTTGGGGCAGGAAAAGTAAATTTCGTCACATTTCAGTAACTTAGTAAAATTAAACTCAGCATTGTTAAACTTGAGTTCTATTTTGCTAAACAATAACCAACCAATAATTCCTGGAAGAACATTGAATTCTAACCGAGGTATGGTTCTTCAAAATAGGGTCAAGAAATGTAAATTTCGTCACATACGAGTACGTCATTGTAAAATGTAGATACAATTTCTTTCACGTGAACAGTCCTAATTACAGTCCGAAATGATTAATACAGAGATACAGGAAATATAAAAACCCCTGCCCATTTTATAATGTATGTAATATGTTAATCACAGACTATTTCATTCTATAATCATTGCTTCCAAATTTAACCTATTTATGATGTCTTATCATTTTGTGACGATGTTTACATCAACTGCCCTATACTTGAATCAACTGTATCCGTGTATCGTCCTTATATAGATTTTACCCGCAAAATGTAACCTATTTACGATGTCGTATCATTTTGTGACGATGTTTACATCAACTGCCCTATACTTGAATCAACTGTATCCGTGTATCGTCCTTATATAGAGTTTTCCCGCCTTCCACACCAAAATCAGATATAAATGATTTCGGAAATTCACCCAGAATTTCAAATTACATATAATGTGACAGAATTTACATCATTTCCCAATAACCAAGTGCATGTATTAGCTAACTTTTAAAAACAACATATTTTAGGGCTATGATTGGCAGAAGAACCATCAAATAATGAGTTGAAAGGGTTTTGAGGACACCTCACAGTAGAAATGAGGTCTCGTATTCTGAGTGTGACAAAGTTTACGAAATATTACCTTAAAGCCGTTCGATCCGTGCCCTTTAACCAATGTTGTATCATAATTGTTAGATTGACCTAATCTACTATATTTCAGACCAAGGAATGATAATTGGGCAGCTATGGTAAACAATGTCACAAAAATGTGACATTTTTTACATTATAGTGCCTAAAAGCAATACATTTTATTTCTGAGCAGTGCATATGGGAGTATGGGTCACATGGCTAATGTTCAGAACTTATGAACACGCTAGATTGAGTGATGCTAAAATTAAGCCACTATCGTCGAAAACGCTATTTTAGAAATTTACCAATATCCTCAAACTTCAATGAACGTGTCCATATATAGTTTTAATTATTGTA